TGGGATATCGAGAGCGTGGAGAGGGAGGGAGGAAGGGAGGGAGGGAGAGAGAGAGGGAGAGAGAGAGAGAGAGAGAGAGGAGGGGGGGGGAGAGAGAGAGATAGGGAGAGAGAGAGATAGGAAGAGAGAGATAGGGAGAGAGAGGGAGAGAGATAGGGAGAGAGAGAGAGAGTGCGTGTGTTTGTGTGTGTGCGTGTGTGAATAAGACAGACAGACACAGAAAGACAAAGTGAATAGAGTGATGAGTGAGGAAACTGTATAAGAGATGCATGTTTTTTGTTGTTGTTGTTGTTGAATGACTCGGAAAGGGCGGAGTTGCAATAATAGTCAACAAAATAATGAGTGTTGTGCCCTAATTTCCAAGAAATATGCTATTCAGAAAGAGCGGTTTGCATGAGTTGTATGAGGACTGTAAATCCACCTGTACGTGAATATAGTGCCTTATTATAAGATGTCTGACCAAACGGCGTTGAGGCAGGACGTTTATGGTTTTGGGCTGGACGGGAAAGACTGGGTGCAGGCGGAATGTTCTCCCTACCCAAATCCCTTCTCTTTTACTCTCTCTCTCTCTCTCTCTCTCTCTTTCTCTCTCTCATCCCTCTATCTCTCTCTCTCTCTCTCTCTCTCCCATCTATTTTCTCTCTCTATCTCTCTCTCTCTCTCTGTAGTATCAAGCTTCGCAATGAGAATAGTTACGTTGGTGGTGTGTGGCCAGTGTGGGCATTTCCGCTTCTATTTCATGACCGCAGTAGCAAACTGCGCACCTATACGACATTTCGCTGTAGAGTTTCAGGATTACTTTCTTCTGTGTGTGGACATCCTGGAATTTATACGATGATTATTTATACGACGTTTCTTGTGTGTGGACACTCTGAAATTTATACGATGCTTCTTTATACGACGTTTCGTTATAGAGTTTCGGGATAAATTGTTTTGTGTGTGGCTGACACGCTGTAAGACTGACTGAATTAAAGCTCATTGATACCCAGTCACTCCAAGAATACTGACAATCGGATGGACCACAGCCCCACATCTCAGACCGGAAAACAATTCGCATTAACCCGAAGGAAAATAATAGATCGGTCTGGGGTCGGTGTAGACCGAAAATTTTGGTCTCTTTCGTTCGTTAGCCTTTGATTTGAGTAGGGTCAGACCCGAACGAAAGAGACAGAAATTTTCGGTCTAGGGTCGGTGTAGAGCATGGAGCCAGTTGTGTTGGTGTGACTAAGGCAACAAGACTTTCTAGATTTAGTCCTTGACAAGAAAACAGATCAAATCTAGATCTATTGACTTCTGCTTCTGGGTCTCATTGTTTGTTAATCGAGTCTCAGTTGTAGGGAAATGTGATGAAATATTTCCATCCTTGTACTTCTATGCATGATACAGCCTCTACCATCTTATGACCAGCTTCAGATCGCGATCGGGAACCCTGGCTTATCAACTGGGGGGTGTTTCACAAAGATTCTAAGTCAAACCTAACTCTAAGTTGGACTTAAATATTATGGAGAGCCATTTGTAGCCTTGTTATGAAATATATTCAAAAGCAAAAAGTATTTTAGACTTTTCATAAATTCCACATCAAGAACATGAAATCTCCCATAATAATAGAAAATATGAATGATTTGAATCAACATTTTATGCTTTTTAAAATAACTTTTATTGATCCAATGATAATAACGGCTTTCCACAGTTTTTTAAAGTCCAACTTAGAGATAAGTTCAACTTAGGATCTTTGTGAAACACCCCCTGGACTCTGGAGAAGGGTATAACACCCATCAGTGATCCACAACCAGTGTGATTTGGTACCCATCCTTGGATGTCGGCTGTCAACATGAATCTGTATTAATGCATGTGTGGTTCAATTATGACTAAGCCTGAGTAGAAATAATATTATTGAAATAAATACATAGTGTGTAATTGTAAGAAAGGCCCATTTCCATTCTCCATAGGCGGTGGATTCTCCATAGTCACGTTGTACTCTGATAGATACAGCTTTGCCAATATTATGATAAAACTATACAATATACATCAGTTACTGGTGTAAGTGTGCAAATTCAATTTTTTTCAGCTATAAACTAATTCTTATGATTCTTTAAATTCAAGTCACTGCGACCATTTTTAATGGGAGGGGGGGGGGGGTTGTCGGACCAACGATGCAGACAAGTTGGCCAAGAAGAATTTAAAACATCCTCAAGTATTCACATTTTACCTCTTAAAATTTGCACACAGAAATATCCCTCATACCCCCACTAGAAATGCCCCTGTTAGTGTACATTTATAATAAAACATTAATGTATTGTAACTCTAATAAAACTTCTACCACCTTCACATAACTTTTGGTTATGGGGTCATGAATGTGGTTCAAATGAACATATTGGAAGCATATGCGATCCTACAATATTCAGTGATCGTTGTCGCGGTTAAAATCGAGTCTAAAGTTATGAAATTGTAAATAATAAACTCTTTATGTTGTATGTAGATCCCTCTCAAGGTCAAGATATTAATCAAGCTATAAAACAATATTTCTTGATTAAAATCGATCGATTAGCTATTCCCGTTTAGAAATTATATATTACAACTACATATTCTGAGATTTTCATGGTCGCAGCTACTATTGTACGGCCGTAGACGCTATTTGAAATTATCAAAATTTACCGTGAGCATTTAATTTTTCTCGAAAGCAGGAGTGTTTCAGGGGCTAAATTTTCGAGTGCTTATAATTCATCCACAGGGGCATCCAAATATATCAAAATTGTAAATAATCACTATGCACCCAATTTTCAAAACTTCCCCAAACTTTGTATTACCTTTAAGTTAAGTATTTGCAAAATGAGTTAAAAATATGAAAGACTCGTAAATATGATGATGATGGCCAACCATAACGACCATGCTACGGTAAATTGAAAATAGATTTTTTTTAATTTTTTTTAAATTTGTTTTAATCGCAATTATCTACTGATCAATGATAAAAATATTAATAACAGTATTACGTCTCTGTGCAGACGAGTTTATGAGTACGAAGTATAAATGTGTATTTGCAACCCGATGATGTCAAATAATTACTGAAGGCCCATATTGTAGTATATCTTCTTTTTTCGTTGCCCCTCTCGCTTGATCTTGCACGCATTCTTTATCACATCCTAAATATTTTCCTCATTCACCAAAAGGTATACCATTGCTATATCGCAGATGACTGTTTGATAAAACAATACTTTTTAATAAATTGATCTAAAAGAAACAGTAATTTTGTAATACACGCATATATTTTAAGAAATAGGGGGAAAAAAGGTGTGTACAATTTGTATATGGCACAGCTTAATATGTATTCATTAAACGATGTGATTAACAACTAATTTTACTTTCGTTTGCGTCTTCATTATGTTTATATTTTCAGTCGGGTCTTCATTCCAATGAACGATGAAGAAATGAAGTTTGTAGGTGAAAAATTCTAGAGCCTTTGTAGATTCCAATGGAAGACTTTTAATCGTGCCGGCTACTGACGTTTTGGATTAATCTGAGAACTTTCCCGTGTAAGCGTTTTAAGACTAACAGTGTGTTATGAACAGTAGACTGGTTGAATCAATGGAAGGTATATAGATAGGCCTGAAATAAAACATTCGAATCTAGCGGACCATTTTCTTTCTTACTTTGATTGAAATCAAATTTTCATCCATTTTTAGATTGGGGAACTGATTATGTGCATGCAGTTCGTCAATCGCTTGTATTTACCCTAAATAGTGATTGTCAACAGCGCCATCTGTCTTTATTTCGCCGTTTTCGGAAATGTCAGAACTCTTATATTCATATTAAAGAGCGAAACCACATAGGTTCTAGACTGGGTTTGGGGCTCCCCACCCTCCCCTTATAATTCTTGATTATAAATGAATTTGGGCAAGGCACATGACTTGTGACAATTTTTGACTTTTGCACTAAAATATTTATATGTTACATTGTAATTTTAAATTTGTTATCCGCTATGAAAATTAAGAAAGATTCAATTTGTTTAGATTATAATCAAAAACATTTGCAGGGATGCCAGTTTTCGATCAAATGCCTGAATTCAGGCACTGGCGATTTATTCTCAGTATGTGTACAAAATAGCGAATTTTAGGTGATTTTCAGGCCCTCTGATCAAGTTTTACTGGCATCCCTGCATTTGAATTGAATTGAATTGAATTGAATTGAATTGAATGTACAAAATGAATACCAGAACCCTCAATCTCCCCTACAGCCCCAACAAGCTCCCCAAAGCACCAACCCCCTACACACAAACACACAAACACAAAAAACACGCACATACACATACACACACACCCACACGCACACACGCACACGCACACGCACACACACACACACACTCAAACAAACATAATCTCGAACCGCGCCTGTGAATAATCACCGATATAAATTTATAATTCTTTTTCATGCTAGACTATTCTTTAAAATCGCATTAAATTTTTCTAATTCTTTGTTATTCATCTAAATATCGTATAAATGTTGGTGTTGGTTCCGCCCTACATATTCAATATGGGCATGGCCTTATGATTCTACAGGCATTGTTATTTCAAACAACAATGAACACTAAAATCTCATAGACTAAATTTGATAGCTGCATTGCGCCGATTTCAATGGAATAATCTATATTGCCATAACGTAGATCAAAGAGAAAAATAATCTCCGCCGCTGAAGAATAGTGAATAAAATGGATTACGAGTTTAACAATGATCAAAATTTAGCCCTATTGGAACACTAATTCGAACCGACGAAACTCGAGGCAATTATTTGAGAGGGCATGTACATACAAAGTGAAGTTATTGTAAAGATTACTATTTCCACCATTTAGAATGCTGCTCTTATCGACTGAGGATAATGTGAATATGGTAGATAATTGGTTTCCATGTCCCTGCATGAACAAACGAACTGTATCATGAGCAAAATGCAAGCCATACATATATAAATGTCCAAACAGCAGACGAATGAATACTAATAGACAAAAGATATTTTCATTCCATAACTATTTATTCAATACTCGCTATTATTACATTGATTCTGATGACCTGTAACTTAATTCACCAACAAATGGCAAAACTACTTATATTATAAACTAAGTACGACAAACAGATAATTAAAGAGGAAATTAATACACACTCTTAATAATAGCCATATTTTTTAATCTGCCCACTCTGGGGTAAAATTTACAATTTGTCATGGTTTAGAGTGAATAGAGGACACAATACTATCTTACGACGTAAAATATTGAAGAGGAATTGAATTCAAGGAAAAGACATGTATGGGATAAGACAGTCGAAAGTAATTTGTTGAAAGTAATGAGCACTATAGTGATAGGGGATCTCCCATTTGGCAACGCGGGCGTATGTGACGTCATTCAAGGAGAAGCCGACATATTTTGTTTATTTATATAGAACTGCTACAACATTATTATCATTCTTAATTTTATGATAGAGTGATTATATTTCACATAAGAGGGTATAACAATATGTTATCTTTAAAACACCATGTGAAATATATGTGTTCCATCACGAATTTAGTATTGGTATGTAAATAAATTTGAAAATGATTTACACAATAAATCTAGGGATTTGTCTCCGTTTATGATATCAAACATGGCTGAATTTCCGCTCGGAGTTTCTTCATGATAATTATTTGTCCTTGGCCTTTAAAAAGATTTAAAGCTTTTTTGTAAATATATTTTTTTGGTCATTTTGTTCAATACTTCCTCTTCCACTCAGACTAATGTTATAATGAAGGATCAACCCCCTTTATATTAACAATATTCTCTTCTAAAATATCTAAATGCCCTCCTAAGGTAGTACAGAATAGAATTTCAAATATAATTTAGCTTAAACAATTAATCGTTCAACAGTTAAGAAGAAATGATGAAAGTCTGCTCGTTATTATGTCCATGTTTATCAATAGCCTATAGTCACACCAGCGAGACCGACTCCACACTGAGAACAGACCGACCGCATGGTCATAATGATGGAGTGAAAACCGGTCGGTTTAGAGTCAGTTTAGAGTCGATTTGAAGATGTGACTGAGGAATTAGATAGCAAGATATGAAACCTGGAAACCTTTGCCTCCAACATACGCATCAGATGATAAGCGAAGAGTGAGCTGGTTGGTCCGAGACACAATTGGGGATGGTGGAGACGTCCCGTCCAGGCTGCATTATAAATATAGAATAATATAAAATAGAGTGTACTGCTTTGTGGATCTCATTATCGAAATTCAATTACAATTTTTATGACGTATAAATCGTTTAATCAATTAAGAGCTTCAGTGTAAAATTTCCGTCCATTATAGTTCTCAATAAGTTGACAGTGATTATTTATGACTTTCGTGGCACCAATCAAAGATGAGAATATGGGTCTTGAATTTAACAAAAATATAAAATTGCCAAAAAAAACTTGATACGGATCTTTCTGGATTGATCTCAAGACTTCTGGTAAATTCATACCTCGGTCGTACGAACGAAATCGACACCAGGAGGGTGTTTAATCATCGAAAAATGATTCCGATTTGAGAAAAAAAATTAAGGCTTGATGAAACACCCCAGATCGACAACAGACCGAACCAACAATTACATTAGATGGCCTAAAATTTGTCGGTTTGGAATCGGTCTGGTGGTATGACTGAGGTATCAGTTGTATACGGAATTGGTTGTCTGGGGATTCGTCCGATTAGTTAGTGTCCGAGAGGGGGAGGGGGTGGGATTAGTTTTCCGAGTTGTTAGTGTCCGAGAGGGAGGGATGGGAGTAGTTGTCCGAGTGGTTAGTGTCCGAGAGGGAGGGATGGGAGTAGTTGTCCGAGTGGTTAGTGTCCGAGAGGGAGGGATGGGAGTAGTTGTCCGAGTGGTTGGTGTCCGAAAGGGAGGGAGGGATGGGAGTAGTTGTCCGAGTGGTTAGTGTCCGAGAGGGAGGGATGGGATCATGGGAGTAGTTGTCCGAGTGGTTGGTGTCCGAAAGGGAGGAAGGGGTGGGAGTAGTTGTCCGAGTGATTAGTGTACGAGAGGGAGGGAGGGGTGGGAGTAGTTGTCCGAGTGGTTAGTGTCCCAGAGGGGGTGAATTCTTTTTAAGCTAAAATTTCTTCTGCTCTGTCGAATTGCTCCCACATCTAATTGTTTAGTTTTCAAACAAAATTCGTTTACCAATTTCGAGGAAATGCGAGAAAATCTGAATTGTATTTTTGAGCTGTTTTGGAGTTTGCCCAGGCGTCATAATCCCTTGATACGCTACTGAAGTTAGTTCGTTCGTTAGCGCGTTAGAAAGCTAATTTGTTTAGTTAGTTATACATCTCGTTCGTTAGCTATTCAGCTAGCTACGCTAGTGTGTTTGTTTGTACGTAAGTTACATACCTCAATAGTGTCTCTTCTTGGTCATTTTGGTTCAGTTGAATCACCTTTAGGCAGTCATACTGGCAAAGATAATTAGGTCCATATTCCACGTCCAAATCATTGAATGTCAACCTAATGACCTTTCCAGGATCTACCTGAATGACGTAATCACAGAGTATCTGGTTGGGGTAGTGTATGGGGTAGTTGAGTGACTCGACTATACCGGACTCCCCACCGAAGGTTCCACCGCATGTGGATTCTGTGATACTCTTGTAGGATGCCTTGAAGCCTTTCCTCTCTACGTATCCATCGGTGATGAGTGTCAGCTCCATTTTGTTCGACACGGATTCGAATGGACCAACGTTAGTCCTGGTTCCACACAGTCTGAAATGTACCACCAAAATACGATGTCATACGTGATATCATTGCACAATGCCCCTCTCAATTCAACTTTGCCATTATATCATTATTATATATTTAAAAGAGGAAGGGAAGTGATTTTACATTTTGATAAAATATTGCATATATTATGTAGTTTTTTTCTAATATCTTGAAAATCCAACCGACTCGGATCAAATTAGACTAACATTTGCGAGACAATCATTATTTTTTAATGCATTTAAAATTGATTTATTTACCGTGTTTGCAAAACCTCGTCAGTACCTCCGAGATCGACGATAAGGACGTCATAGTTACATCCATTACTGCCCTCTTCAATATCCATTTCATCGATCTTTAGATAAATCTTTTTGCCTACAGCAGTAGTAAGGCGGTAGACTTTCTTTTGCTTCGCATTGTAAGCATTCGGGTAGTTTGGGGATGTTAAGGTACTCAGTGGCGCTGAGGGGGAAAATGAAAATGAACAATGGTAATTTTATAAATGTACTTCTGTGCCTCGCCTTATAAACAATTGCATGTGATTCAAACTGATCGCTGCTCTGTACTAAAGAGAAAATAGTTTGTAAAAGTTTACGATTGATTGGACAGGGCTGTGGATGTATGGGAATACACAATAGTGTCGGATTGCCCAACCGCCCCACCCCATTGTAAAAAGACACCCTCAAAAAACAAGAACAATAATAATAATAACTAGATTTGTAATGCTTGTTTGGAACAAGTATAGGTGGGCTGATCCAACAAAAAATTGAGACAAAATAAAGGGCACATTTGAGATATCTTATTGTCTCAGCTACAACATACTCAAAGTTCAGCGTAAACGAAGCTAAAACGACGTAGATATTGCTCACGAAAGACGGGAATGTAGAATCGAGTTTTGAGAAAAAGTCATGTTCCATAGAGAATATACACGCAAAATGTGTAAAATTGACATGCCTCCTTTAATCGCAAAAATACGCAATGATGCCTTTGTCAAAATGATGAATCATATTGACTACATTTGAAAAAAATTGTCTCAGCTAGAACATATCAAAATTTGGAAGAAAATCGATCAATATTTACAGAGATACAATCAATTTTCCATAAATATACTGACGTCATAATATGCAAATTGGAATTTTGAGTTAGGAGGCGATTTTAACAAAAATATAAGGTGGTCTGTATAAAATACAGCCCACCTAATAATGATAATACAAATGATAATACAAATAATAAAAGCTAGAAATTTAATTCGTCATAAGGACGATTTAGGTTGTCTGTCTTCTTGATGATGATAATGATGAACATGATGATGATCATGATAGTAATGGTGATGATGATGATGATAATGTTAGATGATGATAATAACGATACTATTATAGATGTTGATGATATTGATGATCTTGATCATGATGATGTTGATGATCATGATCATGATGATGTTGATGATCATGATCATCAGACCATGATGATGATGATCATCATCATCATGCTGATGGATATTGATGATGATCATCATCATGATTATGAGCGTGATCCTGACATCTTATTGAAAAAATGTGGGAATATTGCATAGCATATATTCTCAGCTACAACATACTAAAACAATCAACAAAAACCAAGCGGAAATAAAGGCGATATTGCTCGCAAAAGACAGGAATGTAAAATCCAGATTTGAGAAAAAGTCATCTCCTATTGGGATCACACGCAAAAAGTAATGGATCAAGTGATAATAGGGTAATAGTAAAGTAAATAGGGTTGTTTATTACATTATTTACGATTCTACGTGATTTAATATTCAATGGAGACGGTACAGTGAAAGGTCAAATAGACCAAAAAAGTGAAGAAAAAAATTGTTGGAGACGCCCCGACTCGAACCAGGGTACCCGAGGTCGGAAGTCGAGTGCGTTACCGATATACCAAAACATTTCCCATAGCGATTACACGTAAATGGAAAATGAAATTCTCAAATCCCACTTTGCAAGTGAAATATGAGCATGATCCCGGTATCTGATCGAAAACTAAAGAGCACACATGTAATAGCTTATTGTCTCAGCTACAACATACTCAAAGCTCAGCGTAAACAAAGATAAAACGACGGAGATATTGCTCGCGAAAGACGGGAATGTAGTATCCAGTTTTGAGAAAAAGTCATGTCCCTCCCATAGAGAATACACGCAAAATGTGAAAAATTGACATGCCTCCTTTAATCGCAAAAATACGCCATGATGCTATTGTCAAAATGAAAAATGATGACCACTGCATTCGTAGAGAATATTCTCAGCTAGAAGATATTAAAATTTGGAAGAAAATTGATCGATATTTACAGATACAATCAATTTTTCAAAAATCTGCTGACGTCATAATATCCAAATTGAAATTTTGAGTTCGGAGGCCATTATGATGACTTCATGAGTTAATTGAGGGTCAAATGAGACACGAAATCATATCTCCGACTCATAATCTATCTAAATATGAAAAAAATTGGGGTGTCCATCTATTCTGAAGAGTTACAATAAATTTTGTAAAGGCATGTTTTTGCCCATATATTGTTGATATAGATCGCGTACTGTAAACTTTGACGGACGCTCATTGCGTTATTACTGGTAAAAAAAAAATGAACAAGGTATCAAAATGTTTGAAAAAATGTGGTCAATATGATAACAGAGAAAATTTGGCGATTCTATGTTGCAAAATGCCAGTACGTGCTGGTACGCGCGGAAACGCGCACGCATAATTGCGCGCGCGCAAATTTTGAAAATGCTTAAATGGCCTGAAACGTGTGCAAACAAAATTTGGGATGAATCGGAGCATTTTAAAATTTTAATTTGACCTTTGACCTGAAGTCGATGTATACCGAATATGGTTGAATTTTGATGACCCGTTATCGAGATATGATAATGACCTGATTTTTACAAAATGGCGCCTAGATGACGTCACGATGACCCCATGACCTTGAGAAGGTTACTTGAACTTGATATTTTAGGGCCTGATGACTGACAGAAATTTGAAGGAAATTGACCAAGTCGATTTCGAGTAAACGTGTACACAAAAAAGTGAACGGAAGAAATAAAAACTAGAATTTAATTCGTCATGAGGACGAATAAGGTGGTCTGTCTTCAAGTCTTATGACAGATTATAATATTTACTATATTGAGAAAGGGAGAAGTTATATAGACATGTAAACAATGATGATAATGATGAAGATGATGATGATCTTGATAGTAATGGTGATGACGATGACGATGACGATGATGATGATAATGATAATGTTAATTATGATGACGTTGATGTTGATGATCATGATCATGCTGACGAAATCAATAGGTGATCTGTCGTTGACAGACCACCTAATAATAACGATAATGATGATGATGTCAATAATATGCTTCACATTTATATATAAATATACATACCAACACACGTATATATAATCACACCGACATCACACCAAACACAAAATTACCTTATCCCGATTGGCTAATAATCTTTTGGTTTAGCAGTGTGAAAATAATAATTCCTTGTCATTCGATTTCAAACTTGCACATAATATTAGTGTGCTCCATTCTCTATTTTAGATTACCTGATCAAATATTGAAATCAATGTTCAGAAAGCAACGATTGTGTCAGCAATCTAGTGGTACACATGATTCGTTGGGCATGGGCATTCCCCCGTTGTGTAATTTAAGAATTGTTGTACCGACACATACCTGGGCCCAAGCACTCTATACAGAATACATGTACTTGTATCGCAGGATTTACATTTTAAAGACCATTTTTGAAAGCCCAGGAAGCAATTCAGTAGAATTGTTATTCTTCATAAATAGGAAGATAATCCAGTATCTAGAATTCTGAAGCCTCGTTCAGATATGCAGCGGAAATCGCGGCAATTAAAAAAATCATGATGGCGTGTAATAATGTAATAAGCTTCAAATTTCCTTTTTCTTTTAACACAGAGCTCAGTGAATACGGGTAGGACAATTTTGTCACGTTTGTTGCTGGCAGTTGCCATTCATTCTTTTTTAACGCGGCGTTCTTTCCTTCGTTTTTTCCGACGGTTTACCGCGTCATATCTGACCGGTCTAAGAGGGTGTACCTATTATACTCTCTATAATTGACAAGTTTCAGCATCCATGATGAAAAGAGAACAAGAAGTCTTTGGTATACCTTCACTTGTTGGTGCTTTGGTAGTTACGACAGGTGTGGTTGGTGCTTCGGTCGGTGCATTGGTAGTTACTACAGGTGTGGTTGGTGCTTCGGTTGGTGCATTGGTAGTTACGACAGGTGTGGTTGGTGCTTCGGTTGGTGCATTGGTAGTTACTACAGGTGTGGTTGGTGCTTCGGTAGTTACTACAGGTGTGGTTGGTGCTTTGGTAGTTACTGCAGGTGAGGTTGGTGCTTTGGTAGTTACTGCAGGTGTGGTTGGTGCTGTGGTAGTTACGGCAGGTGTGGTTGGTGCTCTGGTAGTTTCGACAGGTGCTTCGGTTAGTGGTTGATCAATGGTAAAATGGGCCCTGAATCCCTTGTCGGTATTTGTTTCGTCGGAGTAGAACCAGATCATAATGCTTTCTGTTGCTACGATTGGGTCTGGTATTTGGTTTCCACAATACTTCTCGCCTCCGTATCGCGGGTCATCACTGTTGACCTGAACGTAGTCCCAACACCTGCCACTGTCTAGAGCTTCCATATCGAATGCGTCAAACGTTAATGTAATCGTAGCTCCAGGTTGGCCCTTTGAAATTAAAGACAAGGCTAGCTTTTAACAATTTAGTTGTAATATTTCCAGCGTTGCCACATTAACAGTTAATATGCTTAAATTCCTTCAGGATAATATTGGTGTCAGAAAATAAAGAGTGGAAATTATAACTCCTTATTACATGTTATACTCTACCGTGATCTGCATCTTATCTTAATAATTCTTCTACCATCTGCAAAATAGACAACAGACCGCGCAAAATATTACATTCTTACAAATGGTCAGAATCGGTCAGTTTGGAGACGGTTTAGAGCCGGGTTGGTGGACAGGAATTATAGAAAGCAGAGATAGTTTACTCACAACGATATAAATCATGCTGGCTGAGTTTATGGAGTACTGTCCAGATTCATAGCCAGGGGATGTGATCTCCCCAGATGGCTCAGTTCTAGTGGTCTCAGTAACTTTGAGAGAGAGAGGGAGAAGGAGAGAGAAAAATAAAAACAGTATATTCCTTTTCGAACGAGCAGAGAGAAAGAGAATGTTAAGTTGACATCATATAATATGACGCATCATGGTCGGGGTTTGATTAATACAATTGTATAGAAAAGAATAATGGCTCATGGTGAAACATTTATGTACATGTATATGCAGGGGGTTGGTTAACACGAAGGATAGAAGTGAGGATACCACTCCGCTATGAACCTTGTTCATTAGTATAGAGATGTATTTACCTTTGCTGGAAAAATGACTGAAATTTTCAATCATTTGGGAATCGCAGACAAAAAGCACTGTATGGTGTCCGCGCTCGCTCAAAGAACATTTTAACACGTAAACCAATGGGTATCGCAGCAAACTTTAACTATTTGCATGGTAACTGGAACTTTGAGGGATTTCACTCTTGGACTTTTAACCGGTTAGGGCATATTCGTTCCTTTACGGAAATGGCTAAAATCACAACTCAATTTCGACCAATCAGATGGCTGGATTTAGTAAGTGAGGTATATAATGAAGTCTAAAAGTTTGGACGACATAATGATCCGCGTCAATTTCCTAAACTACCCGAATTTTTCACGTCAACCTTGGACCCAACAAGGTAAACTTTACTCTAAACCTGTCAATAAATCCGGAAATAAATGTCGCAGGAACATATACCTGGTCATCGATTCATAATCCTGTATCAATGTCTGCTGATGTGAATAAAAGCATCAAGATCTACTAGTTCGATTCGCTCGCTCGAATTATCTGTCATCACTTTTGAATTGAAACAAACAAAATCATTATTACATCAAACAAGAATAATGAAGTACAAAACTTATCCATGAGTGGGGAGATTATTGTGAAAATATTCCTCCCCCAGGTGAAGCATGGGTATGTAATATTCAATGGCCCACAACGGTATTCTTTTGTAATATTGCTGGCCCGAGCGACATATTGAAGGTAATTACGAGGCGAGAAGGCTGGTGTTCAGTTTTTGTTCTTTTGTTTAATTCCAAATTCAGGCATATAGGTACCTGAATATCTTTCCTAAATACAGAATATTGGTTTATGTAATTATAAGATGAGAAAATAACACCCGTCTTTGATAAATCATTTTGTTGTTGTTTTTGTTATTGTCATCTGTATTGTTATTGTTGTTGCTAAATTTAGACAACTGAGATTTGATAAACGGGTAAAATGTGTCACCGCCCCCCCCCCCCCTCTCCCTCGGCAAAAGGCAAAACTGTACCCAGCGTACTACTAAATTGTATTACGCAACTCACCTGTTTCGGGTACATTTGAGTTTTCGTTGCAGAGCGCCCCCGTCCAAGCAGGGGGGCATTGACATGTGCATGTTTTGTCTACAAAGCCTCCGTTGGCGCAGTCCAGAAGGGGGTCACAAGTAGAATTACAGTTGTAGATATAGTTTGCTAATTTGACATCGTAGAAACTGAGACCAGACCTTTGACCGATGTACTGCATGTCGAATGGTCGCTTTGTTACCAACGTCGGTATGTTTTCATTGATGGCGAATCCCTGTGTGGCGATATAAATGATTGATATTAACCCAGAGCAGGCGCTTACGCAGGATTTTTTCGAAGGGGGGGGGGGGGGGGGGTAAGAGCACGTTTTTTTTGTCCCGCCAAATTTGGCCGATCGATATTTCGTTCCGTAGGGGGGGGGGGGTTCCTCCAAAACACCAACAAAAAATGAGGGGGGGGGGTTCCTCCAAAACACCAACAAAAAAAATGAGGGGGTTCGACCCCCCCCCCCCCCTCTTTTGCGTACGCGCCTGACCCGGAGTATAGTCCTTGAGATGTTTTGAATATACCAATACAGGTGTGTTTTAAAAGAAGATGAACATGAAGATTTACATTTTGATTTCGTGATGTACTACCCATTTTAAAGGAATAGACCAGTTCTGGTCATGGGATTTCATTGTGAAAGAAACGTAGAATCGATCAGAAAAGGTTGGTCATCTAGCAAGTATTGGTGTGTACTGCAAGGTTCTTGAATCATAAAAACGACAGGAAATTTGGCCCAGTCTTGGTAGAGTTACAAGCACTATAAACAGAAAGATGTATATGGGACTACGCTATATTTATCAAATCCGGATAGATATAATAATTTACCAAATATATCAATTAGTAGCCGGAATTCACCAGTGCTTTTGGAAAAAGGCATATAGGCTATTTTGAAGCGACTCTTTCATTGAGGTGCTGAAGGATGCCTTTTTCTTTCACAATACTGACAAGCATGCGAAAAGGTGGGGAAATTATCACGCCTTTAAGGTGCCCTTTCTCTCTAAGCTGCAGCCCCCTATATCACCTACTTATTGATGGGAAATAAAGCTTTTTAGCACCCTGACTCCTAGGTCTCCGTCCATACTATGTCCATAATGGAATGGTGAAATATACACAAAACAAAACAAAACAAAGATACAGAGATGAGGAGAGAAAGAGAAAGTGGGAGGTCAATATATGAAAAAGGACCACTTCCTAATATACACCCTTCCCCAATCTTCCCCCACTCGATATCTTTGTTCTCTTGTTCACCTCTGACGATGCCCTCATGAGGCCTCCCAAAGTACCAGACACACCAAAGTATGCTCAGTACCTCCACCCTTAGGGCCCATATTACCCGCTTGCAGGCTCCAAAGTATAAGAGCAGTGTATTTTAGCAAGGAGAGTCGATGCTCGCCTCAAATCTCCTTGGTTTTCCGAGGTGCCTCAGATTGCAGCAGTATTCAACTATTAGGAAATCCGGCCAGTCGACCAATGGCCTATGACAGTTATTACGAGCTATTGTTCTTATTGACCATCGGGAGGCACTTAGGTAACCTAGAACCATGTTTTCGAACGTCACCGATATATACAAAATTATTTTAATACATTCTTTTGTCAAATAAAAGGTGGAGATTTTTTTTTAATGCATGCAAATATCCGGAGACGATGTACTTACGTATGGTCCGTAATGCATGACAGATTTGAGATCATATTTGACTACTTCGCTAGCCATAACGTCTTCAAGTGACTCCTTTTCAAAATTGTTTTGTTGATCTGTCTCGATGTTGGTCCAAAAAACTTCGACATGGTCGTCGCGGTCTGGTCTCGACTGCTCATGTTGGAATCCCATTGCGTGCCCGATCTCATGAGCGATGGTTCCCAACTAAAAACAAGTGCAAAATAATGTCTTTAAGCGTCTTCAAATGATACCCCATAACAGACAGCATTTCATTATTTTGTACCGGTATCTTTCTGATTAGATGCTAATTTTACTGAGAGTTTGAGGCACATTTTTTTTTTTAATCTGAAGGGAAATTGAATACATCGGAACTTGAAAGTAGTCCCTGACCTACCTCCCGGCCCGGCCCGGCCCGGCCCCCCACTCCGAGTACAGAGGGATACCATGCGTGTTACCAAAATGTCCGGTAAAGGGGTACTTTTCGTGCGACAAAGTCCGGCCCGAGAATTCTAAAAAAGGGGGGTGTATTTGACTTTTCACCCGGAGATTTCTTTAAAAAGGGTGTGTTTTTTTCTTTTTCCTCTCATCTCTTTGGACTCCTGAGAAATTAAAAAAGGGGATTATAAAATATCTTGAACATAAAAAAATTGATCAAATCCCGGGACTGATGTAGACTAAATTTGTACTGTAGTGTATCCTAATCCTAAGATAAGTGAGCATAGAACTAATTTGCAGACTTTGTTTATTCTTACAAGGTATGAATGACAACATGATGCAGGCTGAGTTCTTTTGGGGCATTCCCTGGGTGTGTGAGCCAACCAGTAATGACAGCTTATCTGAGATAAGGGGGGGGGGGTGGTCTGCATGTCCTGCGATAGGGGGTTCATTGAGCAGTGTTCCGGATTTAGGGGGGTCTCCAAGGCAGGAAAAGCCCGCGAAAAGCCCGCGAAAAGCCCGCGAAAAGCCCACCGGCTACCCCCCCCCCCCCACCTTAAGTTACAAGACTTGCTCTAGCAATATTTTATTTATCTATTATGAAAATAGGAAGCATACCCCAGTTACACCGCCAAACCGACCGATTCTTGACCATTCAAGAAAATGACTTGTTATATTGAATAGTCGGCCTGTTGTGGGTCTTGTGCCTGTCTCGTTGGTGTAACTAGGGTATACCTCCAAGTATATCCAAACAATCCCGTGCAAGAACGGGATTCGCCTTTCCCATTATGTAAGTTACCTCTAAACACCCTGTTCCAATTGATATAGGCTGTGGTTGCATCCGGTTTGTAGGTTGCCTACCGACGTATGACCAGCACCTGAAATTGAAGAAATGTATTCATTTCGGACAGGTCGTCAAAAGTCTGATATTTTCCGCGAAATTCAACAAAAAATGTATGTTTAATTATTGTTAATTACCTTTGGAGAGAATGCTCTATTTTTTCGGAGTTGGTTTCATGTTTTATTATGAAGACATGAAGGAAAAGCACCGATTAAAAAGAAGAAGATCTGTTGACAAATTAAATCTACATTAAGCACTGCATGAATTTTCTCGGACTAGCTTATCCTAAAATATGTTGATGCAATGGAATAAATAAACATTAAATCAAATCAAATCAAAATCTGCCACCAGTGGTAAGAAAAGTACACTGACGACAAAGTTGAAGAAAATACAAATATATACTGTCTTGATAGTTCCAACCAGGAGCTCCAAAAGAAGGCAGGGTATATTTGTTTTATATCCTGCTTCAACAAAAAATTCAACAAAAAAATATCGTTAATTTAAAAAAAAAAAAAAAAAAAACGTGTTAACATTAATACAATTGTAATAAAATGTATTAAAAAATTGCCCAGCCGTAAATAATACTAAATTCAGGTTATACTAACGGCTCGGGAAAATAATGTTTATTTGTTATCAAGTGACACACTTTCAACCAATCAAAAACCAATTCAATATAATTCAATTCATTTATTTTCCATTAAAATTCAAAGTAAACAATACGTAACAAATGAACAGCAAAATCGGAAGGACCCCAAGCTAAGCAAAGCTTGTGAGAATGGGGCCCTGTACAAAAATAGACAAACAAGCAAGTTATAATAACAAATATTGTAAAACTAATCAAAACAAACATACATCATCCCTCATTCAATCACATGCACACGGACACACCAACAAACAATAAATTGTTGATGCCGGATATAATTAGAAATCCTTCTCGACCCGTCCCTTCCCATCCTCCATCGACACCCTTATATGTTCAGTTTAGTGAGAGAGAAAAGCAAATATCGCTTCTTACCCATCCGCCTTATGGAAACGAAGCCTCTGGTTGTGACCCAGTGTTGAGGAACGATCCGAAGAGTAAGTTTCAAACTTCACACATGTCTTAGTCGACCAATGATCCATTGCTTCGTAGATATATGGTACATCATCAGCTAAAACGAGTATCATGATGAACAAAATATGCAAAGAATTTATGATTTGGGTTGAAAATGTGATACAATATCATAATCATCTAAAAATTCGCTAATGCACAATGAATGTCTGCATACAAAATTGTTATTAATAATGTTTAGTTTCACAATGCAAAAATCATCAGGAGAAGGCAATATTATATTATAATCCTGATACATAGGGGGAGGAGGGCCGGAGGCGTTATTTTTTTTGGCGGCACAGATTGGGGTTAGGTGCGTGTTGAGCCTATGGGAAAGTTTAGGGTTAGGGTTAGGGTTAGGGTTAGGTTTAGGGTTAAATCAAGACCTCTTTTTAAAAATAAGCCCCAATCTGTGCCGCAGAAAAAATGACGCGGGCCGGAGGGGGGGGGGGGGGTCTAAAATTCATTGAGCTGCCGAACCTTGCGTATTACTTCTCACGTTAGATCAATAGTGTTTTGAGGGTCTGTTGACACGATTGCAAAACCTTTCGAGAAATCAACTCTAGAAGACATTACATACCCCCTACCAATCATGTTTGGATTACGTAATATATGATTGTTCTGTTCACACATTACAAAACGTGATTCGCATGGCCATTGAAATCGCTTAGATTAGTTGCGATTGTTTTGAAAATTGTGAGCTAGAAAATATTTCTTTCCCTTTTTTTCTCGTTTTTCCCGTTTTTGTTGTTGTTGTTGTTTGGGGGAGGGTCCATCTGCAAACGAGGAAGGTAGGCATTTGTTTCTACACTGAGCTTGCAGGCACAGGCACGTAGTGACGTCAGACCTGTCATTCGATTGTCTACGATTAGACGCTCTTTACTCCACACAAGGATTGTAATTTTAAACATTCGTAATATCACAATGAACCTCTATCCTGGAGATCGGATATGTTTAAATCCCACACTGTAATCGCGATTTTGTTTTTCTTTCGAAAATAGAATCGCAGTTGAATCGTATAGTGTGTGATGGGCTTTGGGTATGACAATGGCCACCATATAAGTAGGGATAGGTTACTTGGATTAGAATTAAGAAATGGAAAATGAATGGTTTAGTGGTTGTTGTTGTTGTTGTTGTTGTTGTTTAGTTTAAGACGTGTCTTAGTCGAAACTCGAACTTACTTGGGCTATCCATGGTGAATGGCACAATGACGTCCCCACCGACTTTGGTCCATCTTTTCAAAACATCCCTCACGGCCTTCCTCTTGGTTCGTCCATCTTTGTGTTCCTCTTTCTGCTGCCGAATATATTCTTTCTGTTCTTCGTTCAGGATCATATCCGTCTTCTGTTCATCACCAGGTATCGTGCTTGAGAATGGATCAGCCAATTTCTCTGCAACGGGCACGTAAACGACTTGACCGTTGAATTCCAGCTTCCTCATGGGACGTTCCTAGATCGTGATGCAATATAGAACATTGTAATGTTAAAGGTAAACGCGTTACTTCAGCGAATACACAATTTTAAACGTTGCGTCGCTGATTGTTCGATTATGGTAGATAATAACGCAATAGAAATGACGCTTCGTGTGCCATGGACATTAGCTTAACATGGAAATAGTTTGAAAATACTTTAAGCGCCAGACGTTGATCATCGACAGAATGGGCTAAAACTTGACAAATTCTAAAAACTAACCAGAAAAAGAAATCGTGTCACACGTAAATGTTTTACAGAAACAAAAATAAAGAAAACAGTTGATAACTGATTCATATTTTCTTATTCTTAGAGGTATATCTTAATCATTAAATTATAAACGAAGCCGTGTCCCAATGGATACCTTAGTTAATGGCTTGCCGAGTATCCCGGCAACCAAACAGGTCAACAAGACGCTTGTTGCAAAGGCTCTCTTCATCTTAGTATTCAACTGATAGATATTCAGGTGAATAAGAAGTGCTATGTGATTCTATTCCTAGTGCTTGGTCTATTTATACAAAATTATACCTGTCGAATACACCTGTCGAATATAGGCCTACTTATTATCCTTGTTTTGCAAAAATCACTTACAATTTTCATTTCGTAAAATTTATTTGCCTACTTTTGTAAGTAAATAATTGAACGCATTTTAATTATATAAACAAATATTCAAATATTAACAGTGCATCCCTGTTTGTCCATAGTCATGTTAAATTAGCGTAGCAGAAAGATTGTGCCCCTGATTGATTTGCGAGTATAATAGGGAGAGGGAAGAGAAAGAAAGAATAGAGGAGAGGTAAACGAGCTTGAGAGGAACATAATAAGACATATACATTGACATCTCATTCAATGTGTTAGAACACAGTGCCCCCTCAATGATTGCCTGGATCCACGCTTCACCACAGTAGCAAACTTATTAATACGACAAAATGTGTGTTGAAAACACTTAAAAACAAAATAAGCCTTAAGGAAAAGTTTTGCCTTCTGTTCCAAATAACTAAGATTTTGACTGCATGGTTGCACCAATTTTTAGAGTCCATGTTTTAGGGACAGAGATGTCAGATGTCAAAATTGCGATCTGTCATTTTAATCATCTGCACCACTGATCTTGATAATCGACAGTAGTAAACTCTTTGATTTTACAGCATATATTTTATCTAATTCAAACAAAAAAAAGACAAACCTTGATACTCGATACATTACCACAGACCTGCATCAAAGAAAAGACAACAACAACAACCCTGAAACAGATATTTCATATTTTCATTTGTTCTTTATTCGTAGACAAATTATAACTTAACAAGGAGGTAGGCTAACTGTAACCAATCATTAAATGTGTTTTTCATTATACCATATTTTGCTTTAATACTAGAATAAGAGATAATATTTTCAATATTTTTATGTAAAATATCAAAAAGTATCCGATACACATGTCTGGCAATGAGTTTTCGCTCTTAATTTGTCTTTGACGATCCCCTCCTTTTTGTTTTGGTTTCTATCCTTTAATTCTAGTCTCTATCAAAAATAATTTGATGATTTTATGGCCTGCTAACAGATGGATAACAATCACCGATTTTAAATAGTCTTTGTAAACAACAAAAATATAATTTAGGAAAATTAATTAATTCTCACAAACACAGGAAAGTTTGACTTAGTTTTTAAAATAAAGATTGCTAACATTATCTGTCAATAACCTAGATATAAAATCTATACCTGACATGCCAGGTGGTTGCCATTTGATTAAATTATTATTATTTTTGGCCATAACAAATTCAACTCGTATTATACAAATCAATAGATAAAAGATACAGTGTAAATAAGGAATGGCATATGGTAGAGGTTTCACAAAAGCGAAAATTCTTCCCTGTGGCCAATTGGCATGTTACTCCTCACATTTCAATCCGAGAAATATAAGAGATATTGCACGATACACGATACGATTCAATTATGAAATTGAAAGCAAGCACATATCCTGTGCTTGATCCTCTCCAGGTGGGTACCCGGTATAGGATATGACCGTCATTGTTGGTCAAACGGGTTTTTGAGCGTCAAGTAACGCCTGGCTGAAATGCTCCCCAGGGAGTGGAGATTGTGCACACAGTGTGTGTAGGCAAGTATAGAATCCAATGACCGGGGTAACAGTATATCTGTAAAACGCTTCGAGACATCGTAGATGACTTTTAGCACTATATAAAACTGGAATATTATTATTATCAATATAAATGAAATACTAAAATTTGCTGAAGTTGAATTAAATTGATCATCATTAATTGATTTAGTGAATGAGTTAGTCCATATGTCCATATCTAACTTATACAAGCGCGTAGCCAGGGGGCGGTTGGGGCGGTCGCCCATCCCCCCCCCAAAAAAAAAAAGAAGAAAGGAAGAGGACGTAGAAAGAAAAAGGATTAAGAGTCGAGAACGGTACAACGAATCGTCTTCTTTCTCTAATAATTTAATGAAACTTCAAAGCTTCCGCGCTTTGCGCGAGAGGGGGAGGGGAGGGGGACTGAATTAAGACAAGGATTAAGAGTCGAGAATGGTACAACGAATCATCTTCTTTCTTTAATAATGTAATAAAACGTCAGAGCTTCCGCGCTATGCGCGGAGGAAGGGGAACATGATTCAAACAAGGATTAATAGTCGAGAACGGTACAACGAATCGTCTTCTTTCTCTAATAGTTTAATGAAATTTAATGAAAGGGAGGGGCGAGAGAGCAAAACAAGCAAACTACCACACACATAAACAACACGACACAAACCAAACCAAAACAAAAACAGGACAATCCAATGGCAAGACAATCAAGCATACTGATAGACAAACATACATAGAAACAAACCAACATAGTATACATACCTAATTACATGCATTCTTAAACAATACAACTTAAAAAACAAACAAAATAACTTGTTTTATGCAGACGTTAGTGATCGGCCAACAAAAGCTATACTCGAATCGATGTGTCACCTATTTAAAAGAGCGCCACCTAACAGTTGATTTAAACCATTACCTTGATCGTTGGGGAACGAAATGGATAAAAACCTCATTATTAGTAATCTCGACTTTCAAATTCCATTCCTTTCTTATGATTATTCCCAAAAATGTTCAATGTGGGGGGGGGGGGGGGCTATACATCCTCCCCTTCCCCCAACCCACTACTGAATATTCATAATAACAATAATGATATTCAAATCAATTTAATAAGATGTATAATAAATCTCAGATAAGTTTTGAAGCAAACTGACCATCATCAAACGGCTTTATCACTTTGCATGGTATAGTGAGATGCCATCCTGCACCCTTTTTATTTCTTTATTTTTTCAACCCCCAAAACTTCTTTTGATTTCGGAGGAGGAGAGGGATTGAGGGGGGAAGGGTGGTAGTATACATCTGCATTAACATGGTGGAAGACCTGAACTAGCGATGTTTTAAAAAGAGGTCTACATTTTCCTCAAATGTAGGTGGAAATGAACACAATGAATTAAGACGGACGGACAAAGTCTGAAAGTGAGTGAGGTTTGAAATACATGCACGTAAGAGAAACGGAGAGGTAGAGAAAGTGGGATAACGTTAGCGTGGAGAGAGAGGGGGAGGGAGGGAGGGAGGGAGGGAGGGAGAGAGAGAAAAGAGAGAAAGAAGGAGGGAGGGAGGGAGAGAAGGAGGGGGAGAGAGGGGAAGGTGGGAAGGAGAGAGGGGGAGGGAGGGAGGGAGGGAGAGAGAGAGAGGGAGGGAGAGAGAGGGAGGGAGGGAGGGAGGGAGAGAGGGGGAGGGGAGAGAGAGAGAGGGAGGGAGGGAGAGAGTAGGAGAGAGGGAGAGAGGGGAGAGGGAGGGAGGGAGGGAGGGAGGGAAAGAGGGAGGGAGAGAGGGAGGGAGGGATGGAGGGAGAGAGAGGGAGGGAGGGGGAAGGAGGGGAGGGAGGGAGGGAGGGAGAGAGAGAGAGGGGAGGGAGGGAGGGAGGGAGAGGGAGAGAGAGAGAGAGAGAGAGAGAGTGTGTGTGTGTGTGTGCGTGTGTAAATGCCTTCGATCGTGGACTTTCACCAGAATACACACCTTCAAACCGTGGACACACAGGAATCGTGGACGTCCACGATTAGAACGCCTATTATTTTCGTCATTTACGTGGCCCAATGAGGGCGCTCTCTTAATATCTGGAAAATTTGACGAAGTCCACGTTAGAGGTAATAAATAGTATCAGGAGTGTACGAATACACAGTTCGTGTGACAAAATTCTCCAGGAATCGTCGCGCATAAATGAATAACGCCCCCTTTCGGCAGTGAGTGACGTGTAGAGATCTAGATCGATATCGAGCGCCAAAACTCGTATACCGTGCACGCGCAACCAAAATACCAACGTGATCGTGACAATGTAGCCGCACCAAGTACGGCGCGCAAGTTCGCAAGAGGTGTGAGAAATCTTCAATTTCAGGTACGTTTCTAATCATTTTTCTTTTCAAATACAGGATATTCATCTAGCCCAACATTTTGGGCTTAACTTGTGTGCGTTTTGGAGCTGAGAGAATTCAGCTTCATTACAAATTCGATGTAAGTCGCACAATCCGTTTAATGTATTGCAACTGCAAGAACTTGAGACTGTCTGTCAGGGGCGGATGCGGCCGCGGTAGGCCTACATAAGTCATAAGTTAGACTTTGTATGCTGGCTGGAGTACTCCAAGGCCAGGGTACACACCTTTTTTCTTGTTGAATATAAAATGTTATAAAATATAATTTTAATCACAGTGCTTGGTAACACTAGATGCAGAAAATTCTTGAGATTACTTAAAAATAAAAGAGAAGAAGAAAAAAATCATGAAGAAAATTTCTTTAGAACAAATCCTAAAGACTTAGATCTAGCCTAGTCAAAGACCTCTCGAGCGCTGTTGTAGTGTTTGATTGTCTTTTAAAGGTACGCACCTATCGCCACCAAGAATACATGGTAGGGTCTAATTATCTTCTATTTTATTTTCTTAATAACATCACATGGACAATATGCCTAAGATTGTTGCATCATGTGCCTTGGCGTAACTCGCCCGACCCTAAAAAAAGGAGCCGACCCTACCTTTTTTTTTTTTTTTTTGCTATCGATATCTTTTTTTCGATAGTGATACTGATAGCGATCGCTATCAAAAAAAAACCGGAAAGTGTTTCGGCTGCGCATATTGCGCTTTTGAATGTTCAATTTTTCCACAAAATAAACTTTCACTAGGTTCTGCATGTGTTTGAATGTATCCATGTAAACGTATGGTTGTATGTAATAGCGCCTGCATGAATAGTGGTGTGTGTGCAGGTTACGAACGCACACAAAAATAAATAAATAAACAAATAAATAAATAAATCCCGACCGACCGACCGACCCTATTTTTCAGGGGCCCGTTACGCCAATACAACAATTTTTTTTTGGGGGGGGCCTAAGCAAGAAAACAGTGTCAAGGCATATTCTTTGAAGCCTGAACTTGTGATTGATCCCATACAA